TTACATATCTAAGGAAACTGAGGCCCAGAGAGATTAAGTGATTTGCTCTCAATTGTGAGTGGCAGGGAAGAAGCAGAGTTTAAGCTGAGAACTCTGCAAACCAGTGCCCATGAGAACCAAGAGCTGGCTTGGAGGGAAAAGTTTAAAAGGAGTGCAGAACTGTAGGGGGGGGGGCCTGCATGCACAGTCCCTGACCACAGCTTTAACATCACCTGGTATCTGACTAGAATGCTTAGAACCTCAAGTCTCAGGACACTGAGTCAAACTCTTGAGCTGGGAACATTCCAATCAGACAATTTCACTCCCTTCTGTTCCCACGCAGGAGCTCAGTGCTCAGGTGAAGTCAGCTTTGACAATGTTGACTATGAGCAACAGTCATAAGACTTCAACTCAAAAGCTTTTAAGCCTAAAACCAAATGGAAACCGTGCTCGGGCATTCCTGTTGCTTCCCAGCGATTTGAGGTTAACAGCCAGGGTGCCTGCCTCCCTAGCTTCAGTCTCCCTTCCCGTGAAGTAGTCCCAGCATCTACATCTGGAGGTGTGCTGAGGATCAGACCTGACAGTTGACCTGGAAGCACTTTAGTTCTGCCTCTGGCACCCGGCAGACAGACAGACAGACAGACCAGCAGAGCAGTCAGGAGCTCCAGCTACGAAACAGAACTGCTTGTGTATTCTCTGGCTAGGTACCTTCAGTCAGGTCTCAGTTCCCTCCACCGTACAATGGGGATTAAAACAGTTCCATGTGCTGGGCATGATCATACAAGTCTTTAATCATAGCACTCTGGAAGCAAAGGCAGGCAGCAGGCACATCTTTCTAAGTTTCAGGGTAGCCTGGCCTACAAGTCAGCCAAGGTTACATCGTGAGACCCTGTGGGGGAAAGGGAGGTTTCCTACCAGGCTAGAGATACAGTTCAGTTGGTAGAGTGCTTGCCAAGCATTGTTTGGTTCTGTCCACAGCATACCATAAACCAGGTGTGGTGGTGCACACCTGTAATCCCAGCATTTGGGAGGTGGACAGAAGGGTCAGCAATTCAAGGTCATCTTTGACTATGACTACATGATGGACAGCTTGGTCTACTTAAGACCCTGACCAAAAAAAAAAAAAAAAGGAAGGAAAAAGAGAGAAAATTCATCATAGGGCTGTCATGTGGATTTGGTGAGGATGCAGGTAAATAATTATTTTGTGTCAGAACATCACCGTCCTCAAAGCACTTTCACTTCCATAAGCTCATCTGGTCCTCGAGATTCCCACAGGATACCCGCCGGTTCCCTTTCCCATCGGATCTCGATGCTGGTCTTGGTGGTCGTAAAGGAGGAAGAGCAGACGGAAGCTGGCCTCATGGCAATGCAGTCTGCTAAAGAGCATCGGGTCAGATTCATACATGCCTTGGCTCTTGTAAAACGGGATAGCCTGAGAATTACATATGCCTCTGGGCAGCTGTAGCATTGAACTTGGGTGGCTCTAATGATTTATTTTTTTAGGGTCATGTAACCAGTGAAGGGGCCATCATTTATGATCTCATCTACAGTTATGTTGGAAAAAAAAACAAGAGGACTTCCCTGGAAGCAAGCAGAAGCTTTTACTAAAACTTTCTGATTTAGCCAGGTTCTGCCAGCAGTCATGACGCACACTGAGACAGTAAAGGCCACAAAGAGAGACCCTGTCTTGAAAAAAACAAAAGATGTGAAATGCTTTGGGATTTAACATGTAATTGGTTCAATAAAGACTTTTGAAAAGTTAAAAAAAAAAAAAAAGATTCCCACAGGAGGTTGGGTGTATTTGATTGATTATAAACTAGACTCTAGGCACCACCGTCTTTTCAGATAGGAACGGAGGTAGACCCTGATGAAAGAAACAGAGCTGCAAATACAAGACCAAGATTCTGGTAACAGGTCAGTCACTGCCTTGGCCTGGCAGTCACCATCTTGGCCAACGATCTCAGCTAAGTCTTGTTGTCAGAGGCTGCTAGTTTGTTTCCCGACTGCCCTGACTCAAAATAATCACACAGAATCTATCTATATTATTTGCAATACTGTTTGGCCAGTGGCTTAAGCATTTTTTTTAGCTAGCTATTACATCCTAAACTAACTCATCTCCATTAATCTGTGTATCATCACAAGGCTGTGGCTTACCAGCAAGGTTCTGGTGTGTCTGTCTCCTGCAGGCAGCTACAGGCTTGTCATTGGCTCCGCCTACACTCTCTCTCTCTCTCTCTCTCTCTCTCTCTATATATATATATATATATATATATAATCTTTTCCAACCTGGCTATATTCTGTTAAGCCATTGGTCAAAAGCAGCTTCTTTATTAACCAATGGCAATAAAACATATTCACAGCGTACATCATCTCCCACATCAAAGTCTGTCTATCAGATCAGTGTTCTTGTTCAAAACATCTGCATCACCTCCCAAAACACAAAGGCCTTCTGGTCCACAGGAAGTCCTACAAAGACTGTCATCTGCCTACATCTCCAGCTTCATCACCTCCTGGTGTCCTGTCCACTCACCAAGTTCTAGCTACATGGCTCTTCTCTCTGCTCACCTAATGGTCCTGGAGCCTGTGCTCATAGCTGCAGCTCCTGCCTTATCAAGACTGGCTCTTCTCAGCCTTCAGAGCACTTAAGCTGGTTTGCTGGACTCCCTGCCTGGCCGGCCCACGCAGTCTACAGAAGCCCTGAAACAAGTTATTTATGGCAGTGCTGTCCAAGAGAAATAGGAGCAAAGTCATAAAAAAAAACTTTACATGTAAGTTTATTTTGAAGTAGGCACAAAATTGAAGTTTAATAACCTATTTTCCTTAATCCAATCTATCAAATATAATCTACTAAGAATTAAGATACTTCATTTTCATTTGCCCACAACAAAGCTTTGAAACCCAGTGAGTACTTTGCACATAGGAAAGAGCTCGATGCAGGTGGGCCACACTTTCCGTGTCCAATCGTCATGTGCCTAGCTGTCCCCAAACCATGCTCACACTTTCCCTGCAGATTCTGCTCTACTCCCTTCACAACACAAGCAGCAACCTGGGTTTCTTGTTTACCTACTCAATTATTCTCTGGTGAGTCCTCCACCATGTTTGCATTTCATACGAAAGTCTCGTTTGTCACATCATATGCTCAGTGGACTAAGTACCTTGCATACAGTAGGTGTTCAATAAGTATCTGTAGCCAAAGAATGGACCTTTTCTGTCAGAACTGCTCCAGATCTGAGTCGATGGACTGGACTAGCCAGCCCCTAACTCCCAAATAAGCACTCATCAGTAACTTGCCTACTACTGCTCTTGCTCCATCATCAATTACACAGTCTTTTTGGGGGGGGATGGAGGGGAGCAGGATTTACAAGACAGGGTTTCTCTGTGCAGCCCTGGCTATCCTGGAACTCAACTCTTGGACCAGCCTGGCCTCAAACTCAAGAAATCCACCAGTCCCTGCCTTCCTAGTGCTGGGATTAAAGGTGTGTGCTGGGATTAAATGCGTGCACTGGGATTAAAGGCATGCACCACCACCACCATGCTATAATGTCTTAAAGAGACACACACATCTTAAAAGGCTCACATCTCCTGGTTACTTACAAATTCTTTCTCATTATGTCTGGAGTCTCCATCTCTGGGGTCAATCTTTTATATATGGGCTAAGGGATATTTATGGATTCCTTTACTCTGCAACAAACACTGGTCTAACAATTTAACAGTTTCCCAACAGACCATAAGGTAGGTACCATAAAGTATTTTGTTTCAAAGTTACAACAATCAGTTAGCAAGAAAAAAGAGATTGCAAGCAACCAGGGGCTCTAAATTCAAGCCTTATTTTGGGGGGAGTGGAGTCTCACTATGTAGCCCTGGCTGGCCTGGAACTCACCGTGATCCCACTTAGGCACTGAGATTAAAGGCGTGCAGCAGCCAGCTCAGGTTCAGCTTGTCATTGCCTACTCTTAACTACAGAGCTATTGCTAGTGGCTACACTTCTAAAAATCAACACAAACAGGTATGGTTGGCTTAAATTGTATTCTATTTCACCCATTACCCAAAATAGGATAATTCAATCAATATAACCAATGACCAAGGCTCAAGTAATCAATATAAAAACACTACCTTTTTAGCCCAGCAATGCTCTCACACGCCTTTAATCCCAGCACCTCGGAGGCAGAGGCTAGAGGATCTCTGTGAGTTCGAAACCCCAGCCTAGTCTACAAAGTGAGTTCCAGTACAGCTAGGAGTGTTTAGGACTGTTACACAGAAAAACCCTGTCTCAAAAAAATAAAAAATAAATAAAATAAAAATACTACCCTTTTCAAACTGTCTTTAAAATCCAGTGTGATTTACTTACAGAACTTCCTAACTCAGACTAATTACAGTTCACGGGTTCTAACACGATTGAGACCAGTGAACCAGGCTGGACACAAGGAGCCTCATCAGGCAGCCAAAAGAGGGCAGGAACTTTGGGCTGGGAGCCTGGACACTTGAGTTTCAATTAATCGTGCTTGTAATTGTTGAGCGACCTCAGGCAAGACCTTTCTTCCCTCTGGCACACCCACTGACCACGAGGACCCTGAGCAAGGAGGTCAAGAAGTCTCTTGCCGACCCATCCATGCTCCATTTTCCAAACATCTTAACCATTGCGGGAACATGGGGACAGGTTTCTGCGCTTTCAAATGACCTTTCACACATACCCATTTTACAGATTTAAATAAACAAACAAACTGAGGCTCAACCCCGAGGGGGGAAAAAGTGTTCTTCCCTACTGCCTCAAACCCTATGAAACGAGACCAAAGATGAGCGGAAGGGAGGCAGGCTGCCGGGTGGGAAAGAGAGATCAAAGGGGTCAGGCATGGAAAGGGAAGGAATCGAAAGGGTCCACGAGGGCTTCGGGGAGTGAGTGCAATGACAGGCTAGAAACCCAGGGTAGCATGAGAAGTGCGGGCCAGAGAGCCAGAGAAGGCGCGATGACGGGACTCTGGCCCTGCGACCCCGGCGGGACGAAGCCAGCCAACTTCACCTACCTGGTAGCTTAGAAGTTCGCCCACGTCCATGGTTCCAGACCCAATCAGCGCAGGGTATCCTGGTTACCTCCACTCACTCTCGAACCACGGGCCGCTCAATATCTTTTCCTGCCACACTGACGTAAAGTGCCTCAGAACCAATAGGATAAAAGAGCGCGAGGGCGGAGCCTGCCACACTGCCGTAAAAGGAAGCGCGACCGTAAAGCGCGCCGCATGTTGACTCCGCGGCTTCCGCCGGGATCATGAAAGGGCGGGCAAGGGGGCGGGGCGGATACTTAAAGGGTGGGAACCTAAAGCTGTGGTAGTTCTCTGAGAGTAGGGAACAGTGCTGGGCTCCCAGATAAACAAACAGAGGTTTGGAATGCCGTGACACATAAGATAGTCTCATGTGGCTACTGAAGTGTGGCTAGTCCTGAGATGTTAGGTGTGAATCAAATGACACTGGGTTTTCAAAATTTGCACAAGTTTTCCTTCTTTCGTTCTTTCTTTTCTTCTTTCTTTCTTTTTTTTTTTTTTTTAGCTTCCTGGGCCAAGGGGTATATATTATGAAATGAATTTGACTTTCTTCTTACTTGTTAAATAAATGTACTTAGTAGATACACTGAAATTGCATATGTGCATTTTCTCTTGGGTTCCCATTAGGCTTCCACCGAACAGTATGGGCTCACGAAACGGCACCTGGCCATAGATTATTGTTGGCTGAGAAACTGTTTTCCTCTGAGCTTCTGTGTATTCGTCTACATAAGACCCAATGGCAATCAGATGATCTCCTGTCTACCCAAGTAGTATTAAAGTGGCTATTAGGGGGTCTGGAGAAATGGCTCAGCGGTTAGGGCATTTGCTCTCCAGAGGACCCTGCTTGAGTCCCCAGCACCCATGCTGGACAGCTCACAATGACCTACAGCTCCAGTTCTAGAGGATCTGATGCCTTCTTCTGGCCTCCATGAACAGACAGAAGCACACATGCACGCACACACACACACACACATACACACATTCTGATAAAAAGAGGTTTCTGGGAAAGAAATTTGCACGTTACTGAAAGAGTTATGGAGTTTGTCTTCTGGGATTACATGAGACTGCATCCAGAAACCCCATTCAACTGCCCCCACAGAACTTGTGATTCCTCCAGCTGCCAAATCCTCTCCTCATTATCCTCCCGGCTAGCACTTCCTCTGCTGCTCACAGCCTCAGTCTGCCATTTTGAACTTGATGGTTGATGTTTTATTTATTGGCAGCCTCACTAATTGGACTGCAGACTCTGAGGGAGGGGGTTGAGTGTGTCATCTTCACCTTCGTATCCTCAAAGCCCGGGAATAGAGCGTGGTAGAGAAGTTTCACAATGGGCTTTGTAAGCTTTGTTGAGGAGAATGGATTTGATGTTATCTACGTGGGGAAGCTGTGGAGAGGGTTTAAACAGGGATGCTGTCTGATTGGGTTTCTGTTTTTAAACAGGGTGGCCTGTGCAAACTGCTTTTAACAGAGTTCATTTGCATGTCTTTTCCCCTCCCATTTGTACAGGTGTAGACTGACCTCAACTGAAGCAGGACAGAGTAATGGTGAGAGCAAATCCTTTGGGCCATGAAAGAAACTGTGTTCTAGTTTGTGCCTTGCTTCAGTCAGCTTGAATAGACAGCCTTGCAAAAAACCAGAGCTAGTTTTCAGAGACTTTTCCGGCAGATTCGCATCAACTTGGAAACACCCACGATAGAGTGTTTGTGTCATGAAGAGCAAGCCATGCGACAAATCATACAAATCGCAGCTGTCGCTTGTTCTTCCAGAGAGCCAGGTGTTAAACATCTGCCAATACACTCCTGGCTCTCAGGCTAGCTGATGTTCCGCCACAGCTAGAATGGCCAAGTTACTTCCCATTTCCCCAGATTGCAGTTTCCTCATCTATAACAGAACAAGTAACTGATAACATAATCAACAAGTAATTGGTAAGAGCCTACTCAATGCTAGATGCAACAATTGGCTCTCGGGATGGAGCTCATGTGTGCTTGTGTTGTATGTACAAGCAAGTGTGGACATAGGCCATGGCTCATGTGTGGAAGTCAGAGGACAACCTTGGGTGTTGATACCTTCTGCTTTGAGACAGTTTCTTTGTCGTTTGCTGCCGTGTAGACAAGGCTAGCTGCTCCATGAGATTCTGCAGATTCTCGTCTCCACCTCCCATCTCAGCACAGAGCACTAGGGTTACAGATGCATGCTCTTGTGCTCATTGTCGTGAATAGTCCTAAGTTATTAAAACATTAAATGCCATATTCTGTAGTCTTTGAAAGATATGAAGAATGCCTATCTGAAATATATCTATGCACATCTAGAAAATCTAACTAACATGACAACAAACTTGACTATTATAGATGATTATCTATTAACCTATATTTCTTAATTATACATTACATTTTTAAATAAACTACACAACCACAATACCTTAATCAAGATCAGAAATATACATATAACAAGATTGACCTTAAATTAGTATAGTAAACCAAGATTCATATCAATCCAAATTATTTATATCTATATCATCTCCCCCTTTAAATGTAAAAGAACATTTATAAACAATATTTGGGAATATGGACACAGTTTTTTCTCTCCAAACTGCTTCATGCTGAATGGGGGCGCTGTTAATTAGGTCTTTCATGGTATAACCTGTCTGCTAGGTTCATCTCAGTCAGAAGTTGAGCAAAGTAATTTTTTGAGAGTGTTCACAGCAACCTTTCAGGAGGGCGTGGTCCATCATACCATATTGGGATAGAAGCAATCCACAGGGTCTCATCCTCTGTGAAAACAAAAGAAGTACCTTTCCAAAGCATCATAACCTTAGATCCACATTTTGAAGTCAAGGTATTTTCAAAATATCTATCTCGGATTAGTTCAGCACCATTTATAAACAAATATCTTTTAGCATCTGTTGCTCCTTCCTCAGCATTCAAACAATTCAAAAAGAGTATAAAAGCATACAGTGTCAAGATTCTCTGTGTATTTTCCATCTTTGTGTGGCTTTATTTTAACCTCTATTTCATTTATTTCTACTTTTATTTTTTGAGACAGGATCTCTGTATATCTTTGTCCTGGAATAACTGTAGACCAGGCTATCCTTGAACTCACAGAGGTCCATCTCTCTCTGCCTCCTCAGTACTGGGATTAAAGGTGTGTGCTACCACACTTTGAACTCACAGAGATCTGTCTGTCTCTGCCTCCCAGGAACTGGGATTAAAGGCTTGTGCTACCACACCTTGAAGTCACAAAGGTCAATCTACCTCTGCCTCCCAAGTGTTGGAATTAAAGGTGTTTACCACCACACCCAACTACTCTCTTTTTTTTCCTTTTTTTTGAACTTTAACCTTTTTCTTTTCTCTCTCAAGCCAGCATATATTTTTAATACACAGTAGAACATTTAGTGATTTTTTTAATCTCTCTTTACTATATATCTCTCTTTTTCTGACTACATGAGTCTTTAATGGGAAGATGAAAGCTGTGGCTTTGACGACTGGATCCAGCCCATTCCTTAGCTTTCCAGCCTCATGGAGAAGGTACCAGCTGTAGCCATTTTTATTGCCACAACTCCATGGCGTTTTAAGGTCCCTGCCAGCAAGCAAGCTTCAGCATTCTGCTCACAGACCCCACTCAGTCAGACTGCCTGCCTAAAAGAGTTAGAGTTTGCCCTGGCAGGACAGCCCAGAAAGCCAGCATTTTAAAAGGTGCAGCTTTTTTCCTGCTATGCCTGAAAACAAACAAGCATGCATTCAGCTTTTAGTCAACACAACTGTTTAAGTGTTTCGTGGCAGGACCTCTTAAAGAGCTTCAGAGTTTTGCAGCTAAAGCTGAGTCAAGAAGCCTCTCTTAGATGAGAGCGCTTGCTTACCTCTAGCAAGCAGAGCAGACCTGAGAAATTGCTGCTACCAAGAAAACATGCTTTACTCTATTCTTTCCCAAGTTTTCTCAGGCTTTCTGTGGATTCAGTTATCCATGTCTGGGTGCCATTTGTAGTGATGAGGCAAGCAGGCCTGCTTTTCATCCCGCCTAGCTCCCGCATGGTTAGCTTTACACCTGGAATAACAACACACAAATTGTATTTTTTTAAACACTGCCTGGCCCATTATCTCTAGCCTCTTACTGGCTAACTCTCACATCTTGATTAACCCATTTCTAATAATCTGTGTAGCACCACGAGGTGGTGACTTACTGGGAAGATTCAGCATGTCTGACCTGGTGGCTGGTTCCATAGCTGATGCCTCACTTCCCTTCTTCCTAGCATTTGGTTCTGTCTACTCCACCCACCTATGTTCTGACCTATAAGGCCAAGCAGTTTCTTTATTAATTAACCAATGAAAGCAACAGATAGACAGATGACCCTCCTCCATCATATGTGTGTGAGTGTTTTCCTCACATACATGTATGTACATCAGGTGCATGTGTGTTATTCTCAGATGTCATAAAAGGGTTTCAGATTCCCTGGAACTGGAGCTACAGTGATTGTGAGCCACTATTTGGGTGCTGGGAAACAACACCCAGGTCCTCTGCAAGAACAACAAAGGCTCTTAACTACTGAGACATCTCTCCAGTCCATATTGGATGTGTACTTTCTTTTCTTTTTCTTTCTTTTGAAGACAAGATCTGACTATCTAGCCCTGAACGGCCTGGAACTCACTTATGTTGAGCAAGCTGGTATTGAACTTACAGAAATCTATGTGCATCTGTCTCCAAAGGGCTGGGATTAAAGGTGGGTGATGCCACACCCAGCTATTGTGGACAATTTTTATGATGGAACCTAGTATGAGATGGTATTTGGTTCATAAAAATCGTATTTTTAATCATTTTGGAGTTATTCTGTCACTGCTACCTGGCATTCTGCAAGCAGGATAATCTCAGAGTTCTTTATCAGCAACTGGAAAGTTGGGAACAGTGCTGCCACGCGACCTGTGGACTATGACGTAGCCTGGCCGGAACACTCACAGTGTACCAAGCCCAGTGGCAATCACAGTGAAAGATTTTAATGTTCTTATTTTTTTTATAATAGGAAAATTTCATAAACAATGAAATATGATCATATCAACCTCCTTAGTGATGCAAGGTTTTTATTGTGTTTGTTTGTTTGCTTACTTCTTTGGCAGGGCACGG